CCCCCGCTTTCTCTCTCTAGTTCTAACCAATCTATAATGGCTCTTTATATGATGGTAGTGAGCAGATGGATGCTTAGTCTGTCATTCAGGTTGAAAACATCTCCCTGCTTTATTGTTTGTCTTTTAACTTTGTTTCTAATGCCTTTGAAGAACAGAAGCTTGTAACGCTGTGTTCAAATCCTGCCGTCTTTTCCTTAGTTATTTCTGCCTTTCATGTCATGCTTAGATTTTCCACATTCTCTCAGATTTTATAAATGCCCATTTATATTTTGTTTTGTAATTTTCCGGTTTTGTTTTTAAAACTGAAATCTGTATTCGATCTGAATTTTATTTGGTTAATGCTGTTTTCACTTTTGACACAAAGAACATGTACTTTTTAAAAAAAAATAAGAAAAACTCTTAAGTTTTACTTTTTGACCAGAGGAATAAAAGGCACATCTGGATAAACAGTCAAATTAACAGAGAATCTGAGCTTGGCCAAATGATCTCTGTTGAGATCCAGACGCGGGGCCTTTGCAGAGGGGGGTGTTCTATGAAGCAGCTTCTCTCCTGGGGTGTGGGCACCCTCCCCACCAGCTCCAGCCCAGAGTGAGTCCTCTCTCTTTCAACATCTGGGCCCATAAGGGTGGTGTGCAGCCCCCACACAGCCCGTCACCCCGCAGCCCTGAGCCCTGGCCCCTGCCTATCCTGCTCCCCTGTGTCTTGACTCAACAAGGCTGCCAGGTCCTGAAGGCAGGCTGAGCACTTGCCTATCTTTATAGACCCCTTGGTGTCTGGAACAGTGCTGGGCTCTGGCATACACTCGATAAACACGTGGTAGCTTAATTCCAGAAGAGCCCCATCCCAGCTTCCCTTACCGTGGACATAGCACAGGCTTGGGGGCCCCGCTGGGGCAGAAGGCCCCCGGGGGGCAGGGCAGGCAGTCTTCCGCCCGGCTGTTGCCTGCCTGAGAGCTGTAGGTGCCTGCTGGGCAGGGGAACTGGGTGCTCCACTTCGTACCTGTTTCAGAGAGGGCAGGGGTCTGAGGAGGACAGAGGGAGAGCAGAGCTGCCTCACCCAGACACAGCAGCTCCTCACCCTGCTCCTTGGGGATAGCTTCTCAAGGGGGTCATGGGAAATGGGCAGGGAGCAGGGGTGCTACTCACCCAGGACACAGCCTATGTCTGGGCTGAGACGCCCTGTGAACCCAAGTCAGGATGCTCAGCGGCTGGCCAGTCTCAGCCCTCCTCTCAGGAAGGTCTTCCTGAAGTCTAACCTTAATCCAGGGAGGTGTGCAGGCTGGCCCATGACATTCCCTCCTGGCACTTACCTGTAACCTTACCAAGGAAGACCCTGGCTCCACTCACCTTGTGGGCAGTAATGTCCAGCTTTGCATGTTCCTGAGGGCAGCTGGGCTCCACTGACGCAGAACCAGCCCCTGGGACAGGGTGTACACTCCTGGCTTGTGGTCAGTCTGGTCCAGTTACTCCAGGTGCCCGGGGGACACTGGAACTGGGTTGGCTGTTTGGTCCCAGGAGGGCAGTAATGACCAGCTGGGCAGGGTGTGGGAGGCCAGTTTGGGCCCCCAGTTCCTGCAAACACAATCCTAAACCAGGCCTGGAGGTGCAGTAGCCCCTCCGACCACATCCCTCTGGGGAGTGTCAGGGGCATGGCTGAGCCCAGCACTGGGGAAGGGGTGCCTGGGTTAGCAGTGGCCCAGAGGCCTCCCCACTAAGGCAATGGGTGGGGATTCAGATGTTCTTCAGGGGCCCATTCTTGGGCACCTAAGGTGAGGTGGACCATGCTCTTTGTGGGGACAGAAGGCGCTATTGTCCTGGCCTTCCTGCCTCAGAGCAGAGCTGGCTCTTAACCAAGGGGCAGGGTCCCATGGGCAGGGAGGCAGCCCTTCTGCCTCCTCACTCACCTGGAGGACAGGCCAGTCCTGCAGGGCAGGTCTCACACTGTGACAGGGCGGAAAGGCTTCGGTGCTTGCTGAAGGTCCCGGCTGGGCAGGTGTGAGTGGAGGCATGGGGACTAGAGGAGCCCACAGGGCACATGTACCTATGACAACGAAGGAGCTGGTACCCACTGTGCAGAGCCCAACATCCTGGAGAGTCACAGGAAAGTCCCACTGTGCCCAAGGGCCTGGTGGGTGGCTTTGGCACAGTAACCTGGCCTCCCTGAGCTCACTATTCCCAACAGAGAAGCCAGAAGTTCCCAGCTGCCTCTGCAGGGAGGTCTTGGAGCCCCACTGATATGACACTGAGCCCTGATCTGGACTCCGAAGGGGCGGATGCTTGGGAGAGCCTCTTCTGAACCTGAGGGTCTGACTCTATACTGGTGGTGGGGTGAGCACACTGAGCCCCCATCCTGGCACCCCATCATGGAGAAATCCAGGACACTTACCGTGGCATGCACTCGGCATCTGGCTGAGTCAGCCCAGCCTGGGTACAGACCCTGCCTGCTGGACATGGAACGCAGTCTGTGGCTTCATCCTGGCCTGGGCGGGGGTTGAATGTGCCTGGCTGGCATGGGATGGGGTGGGTGGTTCTGCTGGGGCAGAAGTGTCCTGCTGGGCACTGCAGACACTGGCTGAGAACTGGGGAAAGGGCAGCCCATGTCACTCTCATTCTCTCTGAAGGGTCTGGGCTGCTGGTTCCTCAAGAGACGCAGTGAAGCCTTCCCAGGCCCTGGTGTGCGTAGTGTCTGAGGGCCGGGGTCGGCAGCCCCATGTGCCAGGAAGGGAGGCCCCCGAGGTATAGATTGGGGGCCTGTGCCCCCAAGCAGAGGTAGCCATCAGGCCCGTAGCCTGCAGGGAGCTCCTGTGGCCTCAGTAGCACAGCCCACAGATGTTGGGAGTTCCCCCAACTTCTCAACCCCCATTTTCCTTTTGATGAAATGGGAATCATAACAACACGTCCTCCCAGGCTTGCTGTGAGGACTAACCGACATTGCCCAAGGTGATAGAGCCATGTAGTGCCAGGCCCATGGCAGGCCCCAGGGAGTGCTGCCACAGCCCTGGGAGAAGTAAAACACCAGGCCACAGCCACTGTCCTTGGAGGCTGGGTCACTTCCCAGTTCTGTGTGCCCACTGCTCTGGCCCAGCCTGGGAAAACTTCTGTCCCCACTCTGCCCTCACATGGGAACTGGGGCTCCTGGCATGGGAGTCAGTGTCGCCCCTCATGCTTCAGCTCCTGGGACCTGTGGAGGAAACAGCTCTTTCCTACCCAGAACTGTGTCCCCTGGATGGGGGCTAGCCTTGACCTTGGCCTGCAAAGGAGGTATCTGTGTTGAGTGAGGAGCAGCTCTCTGATGGCTCTGAGGAATGGCCCAGGGGTTTGGTGGCTTCAGAAAGTCATGGAAAAGCAGCTGAGAGACCCCCATCACAGAAATCTGTTTCCTTGAACCATTTTCCCAGGACTAGGCCTAAGAACTGGGCGAAATGGAGTCTGAGGAGCTTGTCCCTGGTGTGTCTTTCTTGTCCCTCAAAAGCCTGTCCAACCCCTGTCTCACTTGAGGGGGAGGAGCATGCAGAATAATGAGATAGGTGTCAGTTTGCATTGTGACCTCACACTGTGTGACCCAAGCCACTTAGTTGACCTCTGAAGCTCAGAGAGGATATGGGGCCCAGCTGTTGGGTGTAATATAGTGTTACATGAGCTAATACATGGTGCAGGACTTGACACCCAGTAGGTGCGCCCGCTCCACCCCACTGGTGCTCGGGCTCTTTCCTCACCTGCCAAGTCACAAAGTCACAGGCTCAGGATGTCAGAGCTGGAAGGGGCCTCAAAGGCCCCCAGGGCCCCCAACACCACATGCCACTGTGGCAGAGAGTGGTGGTCTACCTTAAGCCCAGCCACTGAATCAGTGCAGCCGAGAGGGCCCTCCTGCCCTCACAGCACCCACCCAGGAAAGGCCTCAGCACTGGGGATTCCCAGCCACATCACCCCTCTGTCTGTACGCTCTAGGTAGAATAATCCAGCTGCCTTTGTACTTCCTGTGCAGGTCCTCACTTTCCCAGCTGAGCACAGAGAACATGGGGCTCCCAGAGCTGGGGGCCTGAGGGGGCTGCTGCACTGTGTTCACCCCTCACAGGCTCCTGGACATGCTGCTGGCCATAGTCGGCATTGCGCGGTCAGCCTCGGGTAGCCTTTGGATAAGCACCTAATTAGCAAAGTCACTCTTCCCATGGAGTTCAGAACTGACCTGCCCAGCAGAAGCTGGTGTTGGGGTGGGGGGTCTCCCTCTTGCCCTCGAAGCTCTTGGCAGGGAGTGGCACAGTGGCAGCACCATCTGGGCAGAAGTGGCCTGGGAGGAGAAGTCTTATGGTTGGTCCTGCCAGGGCACGGGCTTCATTTTGGGAGGAGCCCACAGGTTGAGAGAGGGTGAGCTGGGAGGCTGGGACCAGGGCTGGCCTCTGAGGGGGTCTGGATCACCCAGGATGTGGCTGGACCCCACCCAGGACCCTGGGGAGGCATCCCTGCCAAGAAGAAGGTCAGGACAGCAAAGGCTTTGCTCTCTGGTTCTCTAAAACCTGCTTCCTCTGTTGGGAGAGCTTTCTCTGCCCTCCCTGTCTGGCACCTTTTGAGCCCGGCTCCTATATCTATTTAGAGAATATGTTTTCTGACTGCAATGGTTAAAATAGGAATCAGTAAGACATCTAGAAAAGTCCCTAAATGTTTGGAAATTAAACAACAAATTTCTAAGCAAACCATTGGTCAAAAAATATCACAAAAAAATTAGGAAACCTTTCAACTTGAATGATACTAAAACCCAAACACATGAAATTAGTGGAATGTAGCTAAAGCAGTGCACAGATTCATATGTATAGGCTTAGATACCTATAAATTAAATGCCTATATTAGTAAATGAGAAAGATGTAAAATCAATGATCTGTTTCCACCTTAGGAGTCCAGAAAAAGATTACATTAAAACCAAAGCAGCTTTGGGCCGGTCGAGTGGCGTGTTGGTTAAGAGCTGGCTTGGGACGCCAGCTCTGTGCAGCAGGGCCCTGGTTCGGATCCCACATGAGGGCCAGTGACATTGCCCTCTACAGCTAAGATGGTGAACAACACCTCGACCTGGAGCTGGGATGCCATGAGTCGCCAGCAACGGTGTAGGCTGCAGCCCCTGTTGCAGTGGGCTGCCATAAGCTACCGTGTGTGGCTGGCAGCCAGCGTGAGAGGCCGGCAGCTGGTGTGAGCTGCCAAGAGCCGCCGTGAGTGGCCGTCCAGAGGCCAGCGACCGATCTGCTTCACCCAGGAAGAGTGCAATGATAATACTAACATGGGCCAGTGAAGCGACGTCCTCTACAACTAGACTGAAGAACAAAAGGACAGCAACTTGCCTGTTCCCCTTTCCCAGATTCCCCAGCGCTGTTCCCCTCCCCCAATTCCCCAATAAAATCTTTAAAAAAATAAAACCAAAGCAGCTTTGCACATTGACAGTGTCATGGCCAGTGAGGTTTATCTGAGGCGCGATTGTTACTGGTTGAAAGCTTTTCCAATGTCACGCCATGACAATGGTGTGGAACTAGAAAAAAAAAAAAAAAAAAAAACAAAGCAAATAAAAGGAAGGATATAATAATAACAGGAATCAATGAAATAGAAAAATAAATAAGGAAAATCAATAAAACTGAAAGTAGTTCTTTGAAAAGACAAATAAAATTGCTAAACTCGATTAATCAAGAAAAAAAGAAAGAATACAAAGTACCAATATCAGAAATGACAAAGAGATGTCAGTACAGATAAGAAACTAATAGGATAATAAGGGAATAATATGAACAACTCTATGACAATAAATTTTACAACTTAAATGAAATTGACACATTCCTTGAAAGGCATAAATTACCACTCTCACAAGAAGAAACAAAAAAAATCGGATTAGCCTTAAATTTATCACAGAAATTGTTGAATTTTAAAGTAAAGATCTTCCCACCAAGAAAATTCCAGGCCCTAAGGCTTTACTGAGTTCTATACAACACTTAAAAAATAACTCATACCAAATCTATATAAACTCTTTCATAAAATATGGGAGCGGGGACTAGTTTGCAATTAATTTTAGGAGACCAATATTACTTTGATATAAAAACCAAAAAAAACAGAAAAGAAAACTATAGACTAATATCTCTCATAAACATAGATACAAAAATTCTTACAAAAATATTAGCGAATCAAATTCAATGATATGTAGAAAGGATAAAATGTCACAACCATGTGGAGTTTATCTCAGGAACAGAAGGTTGATTAAATGTTCAGAAAACAATGATACTCATCATCTTATCACAACAAAGGAGAAAAACCATATGATCATCTCAATCAATGCAGAAAAACACAGGACAAAAATCAAATACCCATCTAAGATAACAACTCTCGGCAAACTAGAACTAGAAGAGAACTTCCTCAACCTGATTAAAGGCATCTATAAAACACTATAGCTAACATCATACATAATGGTAAAAAACTGAATGCTTTTCTTTAAGATTTAGAACAAAGCAAGGATGTCCAATTCTACTCAAAATAGTATTAGAGTTCATAGACAGTGTAACAAGGCAAGGAAAAGTAATAAGGCATATGGATGGAAAAGAAAGATGTTAAAAAGTCTTTACTCACAGATAACATGATTGTGTGAAGAGAAAATCCTAAGAAAGCCACACACTCAAAAAGCCATTATAACAAATAAATGAAGCAGGTCAGAGTGACAGATACAAGTCAATACAAAAAAAGTCAATGCTGACCAGGGCCTTGAGGAGATATTTGCACACCCATGCTCAGAACAGCATTATTCACAACAGCCAAGAGGTGGAAGCAACCCAATTGGTCACTGATGGATGAATGTATAAACAAAAATGTGGCATATACATACAATGGAATATTATTCAGTTTAAAAGAGGAAGTAAACTCTGACATGCTACAACATGGATAAGCCTTGAGGACATGCTAAGTGAAATAAGCCGGTCAGTGAAAGACAAATACTGTATGATTCCACTTACATGAGGTACCTAGAGCGTCAAACTCATAGACAGGTAGTAAGATGGTGGTTTCCAGAGGATAGGAGTACAGGGGAATGGGATGTTAGTGTTTAATGGGTATAAAGCTTCAGTTTCACAAGATGAAAAGATGAGTGGCGGTGATTGGATTGGACAACATTATGAACCTATTTAATACCACTGAACTGTACACTTAAAGATGGCTAAGGTGGTACATTTTGTGTTACATATATTTCACCACAATAAAACACAAATTGAAAAAATATCAATACTAGGTACAAACAACTGGAAATTGAAATAAAAAAATATAATTTCATTACAATAGCATCCAGAAACATGAAATACGGGGGTGTAAATTTAACACAATATGGGCAGGTCCTTATACACAAAGTTTCAGAGTTCTTAGTAAGAGCTGTAAGAAGCAGAACCGGCACGTGAATCGGCTTCCCTCGCTCACGCGCCTCATCACTCTGCACACACCCCTCCTTCTGCACTGTCTCACTTCATCCTCCCCACAGTCCTGTGGGTGTGTGTTTGGGGCCCAGGGGTAGCTGGACTCTGCACCACAGGGCCACCTGGGGGGTGTGCAGGCCAATCCGAGCATGTGGACCCCGGCACCCTCCTCGCCCAATGTTGTTAGGGTCACCAACCCACTCTCACCTACCTGTGGGGCAGGGCTGGACACTGAGGCCTCTGTCTGTGAAGTAGCTCCGAGGGCAGAAGATACAGCCAGCATGCCACGAGCTTGGCTCCTGTCCAGCCAGGTACTGCTGAGGGCCAACAGGGAAACAGGTGGGACGGCAGGTAGGTCGTAACACCTGTACCTGGACACAGCTGAGTTGGGTTCTCAGCTCAGGTGCTTATTTAGCCAAGTATCTGTAGACTACCTAATCTCCCTGCCCCTCCAATTTCCCCTGTAAAAGAAAATTACCACCAACACTGCCTCCATATGTCGTGGTGAGGAGAGCTTCATGACTAAGGGAGGGTCTCGCCTTCTCCTCTAAGTCTTGGTGGAGGCTATAGCCCCAACACTTACTGCCTAGGGCACAGCTCTGAAGGATGGCAAGCTCCCAGGGGACAAAGTCCTGCCTGACACTGTCCTCTGTACCCAGTGCTGCACACAGTAGGTGCCTGGTGACATGTGGTAAGTGAGTGACTGAGTCACCAGCTGGCTGCTGTGGGCATTTACTCCACAGCTCCATGGCTTTTATCTTAACTGTGTATCACATGGGGACAGTGGCTCTGAAACTCCCAACACTTCACAGGTGTCACTTCCTGTGATCCCCACAGGAGCCTAAAGGTGGGTTACACCTGTTTCCAGATAAAAGTGGCTGTGCAAGTCCCTGGCCGCTGGGTCACAGGTGGGCAGGGAGTGTTGGCTGCCTTGCCAAGGGAGTATCACCACCTTACTTTTACTCATATCAGCAAGAATGAGTCTTGTTCCTGATCCTGAGAGTTAACCTCTTCTGGGGATTTCCCGATAACCTCCATGACACCCCACCCAGGAATGGATGAGACCAGGAGTAGCCCTTCCCTGGGGGTCACCTGGCCGTCCTTGCTGTCTGTGAGTCCTGGGAGTGCATCGCAGGCTCCAGTGCGGCACAGCTGCAGAGCTGACCTGCCACCTGGGTGGCTGCAAAAGCCAAAGAAAGCTGAGCAAATGAACGGAGGTCTCACGTGCCTGGGAGGCCGCCCATAGATGGGCCTCAATGGCAACACAGATGGCACAGAGGCCCTTCACACTTGGCCTGGGTCCATCTGGGTCTGCCATCAGCCTGGGCACACCATCATCTGGCCCATGGTCTGGCCCACTTTCTGCCTGACCCAACTGAGACTGGCTGGATGGAGAAGGGAGAGTGTGCCTGACTGGATGACTCAGAGCTGATGGCCAACACTGAGGGGCCCTGGGAAAGGTCAGTCCCCTGCACAGACACCCTGAGGCAGGGCCTCCCAGAAAGGCCCCTGGGCAGCCCCCAGCCTTCCCCCACCCCTCGCCCATCCAGCCCTTTCCCTCCTCTCTTCCTGGGGCACGAGGGTGTCTGCTCCTTACTAAAAGCCTGCGGGGCACTGCAGGCAGCTCCCAGTCATGCAGTGCTGGCCTAGCAAGCAGGTGACAAGGCACAGGAGGTGGAAGTGGGCCCCACTGCGGGGAGAGAGGATGGCCGTCTCTGTGGAGAACAAAGGAGGGGAGGGCAGGGTGGGTGTGAGGGCACTGTCCCCATGGTCTCCAGAGAGCCCCTGAGCTGGGCCTTCTCCTGTGATTATGTCACTTCAGCAAAAGCCTGCAATCACCGACAAATTGTCCTAACAAATGGGTCTTCACTGAGAAGTGGGTGCACGGCTGGTGCTGAGGATGACAGCTGTGCTAGACACAGCCAGTATGAGACACAGGAAAGAAAAGCACAGATCATGTAACAGGGGCTGCAGGTTGCTGAGAGTGCCCCACCCCCACCCCCCAGAAACATGACACTGTGAGGAGGCCTCATGGCTTTGTGGTCACCCTCACCTCCTAGAATTTCCAGGTGCTCAGAGTGCTCTGCCATTAGCATTATAGAATAACTGGGCTGACATTTCATCTGGTCAGCCCTCTCATTTTACATGTGGGGAGGGGGCTGGGGCTCAGAGAAGTCGCAGGCCTAGCCAGAGCCACCCTAAGGCCCTGGGGGATCTGGCCTGGGCTGGGAGCATGGACAACAGGTTCCTGTCTGTGCCCCCAACCCCGGCACTGTCTGTGCCCCCAACCCCGGCAGTTCCAGAGGTCTGGGGTGTGCTTCCTCCCTGTGCTCCTGGCCCTACCCTTCCCCCAAGAAAGCCCTGCTAAGCTAAAGACCCAAGGAAGGGTGGCTGGAAATTTACCTCAAAACTGCTCAGCAAATCCTGATGGGGGACCCCAGGAGGCCCTGAGTTTCACTGGAGAAGCCACAGGCTTTGGGGACAGACAGACCTGATTCAGATCTCACCTCTTCCACCCACTACCAGTGAGCAATATCTCTCCACCTCAGTTTTACCATTTTATTGGGCCACAATAGCTACCTCAGAGAATTTTGGACAATAAATGAAAAAGATTTTCTATTCTATATATGACTTATATATCAAATAAATATGCATATTAAATAATATAAATTTATATCTTTATATATGCTATATGTAAGAAATAAGATTATATGTAAGATTTATACTTTAAATATATAAAAGAAGTAAGTTTACATATATATAAAACTTTCATCAGATATAGCCAACTACATGTGCTTGTTTCACATGAGGCCCAGAGAGGCAGACAATTCACTGAGAAAAGTGAACACCCGTTAGGGCCTATAGAATCAGGGCCCAAGAGAAAGTGCAGAGTAGAAGGACAAGGGGACCAGAGAGGGAGTGACCCCTGAGAACCTGGACAGGGGAAGGTTGTGTGCAGAAGGCAGCCTCACCTGGGAGGTGGAGAGAGTGGAGGCTTGCAGACGAGAAGAGAGAAACCCAGAAGAGGGAGGCCAGCGGAGCGTACCTCCTCCTGCCCTTCCTTCCGGGCACTGACCCAGCAGTGATGAAGGCTATGGACTGAGTCTGTACCTGGACCTGACACTTACTGACGACATGCTCTTGACCAAATTATTGACTCTTTCTGAGCCCCAGTGTCCTCATCTGAAAAGCGAGTGCTAGTTGTATATGTGCATAGAATGACAAGAGGTCTAACAAAGGATGCAGGTAGAGGCCATGGGTCCCAGCACACAGCATGCACCCAGATGTCATGGCTGCTATTGACTCACTTGCATTGAGGGTGATCAGCAGAGGGGCCACGGCCATCCAAAGCCCAGGCTGCGGCATGCTGGAGAAGTAACCAGGAAAGGCTTCGCCAGAGAATATGCTGGATCCTTGGCCTGTCGGGGCTACAGCATGTGACCCTTGCTGCTGTAACTGGACACTCTGCAGCTGCCTTGGACCGCCCCCCATCAAGGTCCCCTGGGAAACGTGGCCTCCCTGAAAGCATCAGAGAAGACAGGCAGGACGTGCTCTTTGTCCAGCTCTCTCACCCCTCTCCTTCCAGGTGGCAGCTGAGAATAGCCAGACTGCCAAGCTCCGGTGCCCTGGTAAGACTTACCAGCTGTGGGATCCTGGAAAGAATGTATTCTTTTTCTGTCTCAATTTCCTCCTCTGTAAAACGGAGGTGGAAATGCCTACCCCTGGGATAGTGAGAGGGCTGAGGAGTCTCTGGGCATCCTCAGAGCAATGCATCATGCAGGCTAGGCATCAGTACTAATTCTTTTCAATTTGCCAAGCATTTGTTGATCATGTGCCATTTGGCCAACAGCATATAAGGGGTAGAGAAGTCAATGCCCTGACTAATGTCCCAGGGCTTCATTTAAAGGCTATGAGACTAGCCCACAGGAAGCAATTACAAACACAACTATCAAAAACCAGTTAGGAAGCCGGCCAAGTGGCGCGTTAGTTAAGAGTTAGCTTGGGGGCTGGCTGAGTGGCGCAATGGTTAAGAATTGGCTTGGGATGCCAGAGGGCCCCGGTTCGGATCCCACATATGAGGGCCAGTGACACTGCCCTCTACAATTAAGATGCTGAACAACAGCTCAACCTGGAGCTGGGCTGCCGTGAGTCCCCGGCGACGGTGTAGGCTGCAGCCCCTGCTGCAGTGGGTTGCCATGGGCTACTGTGTGTAGCCAGCAGCCAGTGTGAGTGGCCAGCAGCCGCAGTGAGCGGCCGTCCAGAAGCCGGCGACTGATCTGCCTCTCCCGGGAAGAGCGCAATGATGGTGCCAACTTGGGCCAGTGAAGCAACGTCCTCCACAACTAGACTGAAGAACAAAACGACAGCAACTTGTCTGTTCCCCTCCCCCAATTCCCCAGAGCTGTTCCCATCCCCTCAATTCCCCAATAAAAATCTTTAAAAAACAACAACAAAAAAGCCCAGTTAGCATGACATGGCCCTACTGTGAGCCAGGCTTCATTCACTTTTCTCACCAACCTTGCTGCTAGGTGTAATCTTTATGAGGCAGGAACAGTGATTGGCTTGAGGTCCCCCCACTCCAGAAACGTGTGCTGGGCAGTGACTTCCTTCCAAGAAGAGCAGTATGGAAAGGCGGTAAGAGAGTAACTTTACAGTGGAGAAAACTGACAATCACTACTGATTAAGTTAAACATAAACAATCAGAAATTATGTTGATAGTATGTAACCTTGCTATGATGTGATGAAAATGACACTTTACCTCTGTGGTCTTTCTCTCAAAAATCCACAACCCTAGTCTAATTATGAGAAAAGCATCAGATAAATTCCAAGAGAAGGGCATCCTAAAGATACCTCACCAGTTTTCCTCAAAATTGTCAAGGTCATCAAAAACAAGAAGAGTCTGAGAAACTGTTGCAACCCAGAGGAGCCTAAGGAGAAATGACAACTATATGTAATATCGTTTCCTGGATGGGATCCTGGAACAGAAAAGACATTAGGTAAAAACTAAGGAAATCTGAATAACTATGGACTGTAGTTTATATTAACATATCAATATTGGTTGATTGTAACAATGTACCATAATAATGCAAGAGGTAACAGGGAGGGGGTTACATGGGAACTCTGTACTATCCACTCAATTTTTCTGTGAATAAAACTGTCCTAAAAATAGTCTAATAAATAAATGCAGACAGAAAGAATGCAATGGATTATAAGTTCTTGAACAGAAAGTAACACATGAATTCATACCGACAGTAGAGAAATAAATAAGGAAGTCTCTTCTTTAATAGCAGCATCAGGACTAATAAATGTGAAGGGCCTGAATGACTTAGAAAGAAAAATTAACAGTTTGTAACCATCACGGTAAATATCAGTTGTAGCAAGAATCATCAACGGAGGCTGAACCATAGGGTAGAGTTTGATCAGGAGCAAGATGCTTGCTTGGTCTCAAAGTATCTCCTCACAGATTGCTCATTAGTTGCCAGGAGGGAAATATACAAGTGGAGAAACTGGATAACACCTTGATCAGGTGATAAAGATTAATAACACCTTATAATGGACAGACAGACATCCTGTGCCTCTAGATGTAATATACTGAGGACACACTTCACTTGAATCTAATCAGGAGAAAACATCAGACAAAGGTCGATGCGAGAATCTGTATTCGAGGAAGAGTCTTTCTTTGTAAGGGGATGGATTGCCTTGCTGAGCCCCCTTGGTCATAAGGCTGTTAAATAATCAAGTGCAAACATTCCAGACTGTGATTTTAACTATTATATTTACACATCAAAACGCTATGGCAACAGAAAGATTTAACTATGAAGAGATTAGCAGTTTCCAACTTGCAGGGACAGTACAGAATGCGGGGCAGGGACTGGGTCTAGGGAGAAGGGACCCTGAGCTGGGGATTAACAGTTGTTCGGTTCGTATTTATTTCTAATTTAATAAACACACGGCACTTATTTTTACCAGCCGCTGTCCTAAGCGTTTTTCAGATAACTGACTTTTTAATGGAAAGCTCAGTAATTGGTTTTTATTTCCCAAAACTGATATGACACTACATGGTTTTGTCTTAAGTATTTTTACCCCTTATCAAGGCTCTGTTGCAGTTATTCTCTCCTTCGAAGGAAGAACATGAGCCTACAATTACTGAGTGGTTTTTCGTAAAAAAGCGGGCAACCCTTCGTGGCGATATCAAATGTTGAGTCACCTTTGAAAAGCCTGATTCTTTGTTAAAAAGCCTTAAAAGCTTAAAAGCATTGAGAAACGTTTATGTATGCTTTTTGGGTGCTAGGCGCTCACGTTCTCATTTCCTTTAGGAGTGAGCCCCAGAGCATGTCGCTGTCATTTTTGGCCAAAGTTACTCACTGTTCCTAAGTAACTTCCCCGCGCCATATCTGGAAACTAGTTCCGGGCTATTGTTGCTGTCGAATTGGTGTGTCTATGACGCAATGGATTCTGGGAGACCAAGTCGCCGTCCGCAGAGGCGTCCAGGCCTGTGTGACGTCGGACTTCAATTCCCATAATTCCTGGCGCGTCTGCGATTTCTTCCGGGCAATCGTGAGGCGGCTGCCATCTTGAGCCCTGAGGTGCGGCTGAAATCTTTCAGTTTCTTGTAGGTTTTCGCTTAGAATTGTGACTCCGCGTTTCTTCCAGCTTTTCAGAGGCCCGTATCTTTCTAAAAGAAGGTTTTATTGGGAAGTGAAGGTCAATGCAGAGTTGCCGTATAAGGTGAGTAAACACCTTTCAAGTGTGTGTAGCGGGAGTGGTGGTGACGTTTTTGGTTTCTTCTGTCGAGACTCGAGTTCTCGCCGGCCCTTGGCCGAACCCCTTCTGTTAGCTGTAAACGAATTCCCGGAATTTCCTGTTTGCGTTGGGATAGAGAAAGCGGTGATGCACTTTTGCCCGGCTGCCTTCCGAGGAGGTCGGGAGGCCGTGGGCTCAGGCTGTGTGTAGGCCATGCTCTCTTACCGCAACCTCCTGCTGTTTTTTGGGACTTTTTTGATGTTCGATGGAGGAAACGAGAAGCCAAAAGGTGGCGGAAGAGGAGTTTGTTTCCGGGATGTGTCTTCCTTGAGCGTCTCTGGCCTACCAGTACTATTCTCTAGTTCGCCTTTTAGTTTTTTCTCTCGTGTTGGAAGAAAAACAGAGAGCAGGCAGCATGAAGAATGATTGAGTAAAACAGGTTTTTGGATTGTACTCTTGAGGGTCCCACAGAAATTTCAAGGGAAGCAGAGCTTCCATCTTTCCAGACCATCTGGAAAAGATCGAACGCTTTGATTTGGGGAGCTGCCAGAATTTCTTTTCTAAACGTAAAATGACATACTTGCGTCATTTGCACCTGAAGAATTTTTTTCTTTTAGTGCAAAACACCCATTTGGAAACCGCTTTTACACTGTTCAGAGGACTGGAGCCCATAAAGATTGGTATTTCAGTTAATCTGGCCTTTGATTGCTAAGGAGTTGCGGTTGTCTGAGGTTTGGGAGCTGCATCCATTTACTCCTATGGACATAGTGGTTTTAAATACGAAGATGTTAATAATGCGATTTATTGCAGCCAGTTTGCTTGTGTCAGTTTGGTTGGCAGATTTACTCTCCTTAGTACACAGTTTTGTGTACATATCATCAAAATGTATTTTATTGATTCAACTTTCCAAACTTACTAAGTTATTTAAGTTCTCTAAATTCAGAAATGTGTAATTTAGATTAAAGGTGACATATACTTTCTTTAAAAAATGATATTTACTTACCTTCAATGAGACTCCCTCTTTGAATTCATTGTTATAATGATATTTAAATAGTAAGTGGTTATAAAATTACAATTTTATTATTTTTGTATTTTGGGATGCTGTTACCGTTTAATGCTTATATCACAAATCTAAATGTCGTTTTCTATTCCTTTAGAAACTTCTCTTTAGATTTTTTTTAATATTAGCTATTAATTGTATGATTTATTTGCTCCCCAGATGCCTTATCGTGAAATTGAAGCTAAATCTTTGGGACATGGGAAAGAACTAACAAGTGAACCATGCTATAAAAAGTTGAAGCCAACCGGAGTTTTCTCACACCATGGTAGTTATAATTTTCACAGAAGCCAAGAGAAAACTGGAAATAATTGGGTCCCTGTGACCATCACTGAAGTCAGAGGCCATAGTTATCCTCAGGAGGACAAAACCAAAACTACAGATTTGCTGAAACCTGTCCGTAATGAGATGCCCGGTAATAGACCAGATGTTATTGAGTCCATTGATTCACAAGTTTTACAGACTTTAAGTCCTCCATTGGTATCCAGAGATGAGGTATATAGCACAAGTAAAGCATTTATAGGACCCATTTACAAACCCCCTGAGAAAAAGAAATATAAGGGAAGGAGAAATCAAGCAGATACTACCAATGGTATAGATGGCAAAAGAGCACAAGAAGAGAAACAGAAATTTAATTCCAAAAAGTCAGAGATTGACAATGAATTATTCCAGTTTTACAAAGAAATTGAAGAGCTTGAAAATGAAAAAGATGATTTGGAAGGCAGTTGTAAGGAACCCGAATGCTCTGAGGAACAATTTATTTCATATTATCAGGACCATAATAATGATCTGATAAAATATGAAGAAGAAAAGGAAAGAGATCTTAGTAATGCTCTTCAGTCACATTGTGTTTATCAGCAGCACATGGGGAATGAGCCAGGCAAATATCCTTGTAATAGACAAGTAATACCTACGTTTTGTGACCTGTCGTTTACTTCCTTCAGGCCTGAATGGCAATCAGCGCATTCTTTTATAGTACCCCGAGGTCCTCCACTTCCCAGTTCTAATTATCACTTAAATTTTCAGAGATTCCGTGCTCCACCAAGTCCACCATCAAATAGTTTCCGTGCCCAAGATGGCTGTCAGATTCGAAGTGGATATTATGCAAATACTTGTCAGGTTAATTGGAATTGTTTGACTTTTGATCAGAACAATGAATATACTGACTGTAGTGAGAATATCAGTAGTGATCATCTCTATAGAAATGGCTACAGTGTGCAAGATGGATTTGTGAGTAATGGTTTCTGTGAAACCAGCGAAGGATGCTGGAAAGATCTTTCTATGGACAAGCATATCAGAATGGACAGGTTTATGAACCAGCAGTTTCAAGAGGAAAAGTTAAATAAATTGCAGAAGTTACTTATTCTTTTAAGAGGCTTGCCTGGTTCTGGGAAAACAACGTTGTCTCGGTAAGTAAAGGATACCAAGTGAATACTTAGTAATTCATTACTTAAAAAGCATATATGATACTTGTAATCAATGCCTTGTGTTTCTAGTAGAAAATCTTTAATTTGTTATACTTGAGAATGGCATCTGATTGTAAATATTTTAAAAGATGTTTTCTGATAGAGGAAGGGAGAATTGGCATATTTATATTAAGAATCTGCTAAGGGCTTTAAAAATAGATACACCATGTATAATTATGACGATGGTGAAAGCAATGGTATTTGAGAATTGTACTGGCCTTCACTTTAAGTCAGCTATTCAAAAAGATTTGGAGTCAGGGTTACAAGATTTGGGCTTTGACTCAGTTATTTCACTTTATGACTTTGGACAGGTTTTGCTATCTATTAATACAATGAGTAATACTTATTTTTCTGGATTTATCATGAGAAGCAAATGAGATAACTCAGGGAAGGGATTTTGAGCATGTTTTAAGCAGTGCCCTGTTCATACCATTGACAGACAGAAAGAATCCTTTTTTGGTTTGTTTAAGGAGTTTGAAGTGAGCAATATACAAAGTAATGGAGTTAGAACTGGTGGGGTTTTATATGACAAAATGTTTCAAATTCCTGTTTAAATTTCTTAGAAAAGAATATTGATGCACTTGAATACATCCGTGCAGTTGTGAAAAATAGCACAAAGAAAAACAATATAAATACTTTGCAATTTATGTAGGATGATTTAAGATGTATACCAGATAAGGAGAAAAAGAAAATGTATGTGATGTCTTTGGATGAGGATAAAAAATTCCAAGGAAAACATTTTGTAAATGTTTAATATTTATTTGTGAGACAATTTAATCTAAACAAAGGTTTCTTCAGAAACAAGAAATGACAGAAAGATTAAATTTATATAGACATTTCAGATTAGACTGTAGACGGATATTTGTACATGAATTTAAATTTAGGTCTTTGCATTTTGATTCCTCTTTAGTGAAGTTTTTGTACAGAAGATGAAATTTCAACTCTTTAGAAAGGATAGAAATTAAGAGTGAAGTTGTCACAAACAAGGGCAGTCTTTTAGATTTAGAATATAATGTCAGAAAAATGCATTAGCTCAAATTTGGAAATTGGATCAAGGCATCTTCTAGCCAGGGACACCGAACTAAGACTTAGTATAGAATAAACATAAGAGATAGGTTAGGTTTGGGACAACATATTGGAGTATGTTGAAACTAAAGATGAATAAAGTAGTAGTAATTCAGCATAATTTCAGGGAGACATTGTTGTAGTGGGAAATGATAGAGGCGATTATATATAATATGTATATTTCTTCATTGAGAGATTAGATAATGATATAAGAATGGACATTATAGTAGTAATTACCATTTGTGTCATGATTTACAATTTACAGAGAGTACTTCCATATATACAAATCTTGTTAGGGCCGGTTGAGTGGTGTGTTGGGTAAGAGTTGGCTTGGGATGCCAGATCTGAGCAGCAGAGCCTGGGTTCAGTTCCCACATGAGGGCCAGTGACACTGTGCCCTCCACAGCTAAGATGGTGAACAACAGCTCGACCTGGAGCTGGGCAGCCATGAGTCACCGGTGACAGCATAGGCTGCAGTAAAGCTGCAGTGGGCTGCCATAAGCTACCGTGAGTGACTGGCAGCCGGTGTGACTAGCTGGCAGCCAGTGTAAGCTGCCAAGAGCCGCTGTGAATGGCCGTCCAATGGCCGGTGAGCAACTGCCTCACCCGGGAAGAGCACAATGATAATACCAACATGGGCCAGTGAAGCAACGTCCTCCACAACTAGACTGAAGAACAAAAGGACAGCAACTTGTCTGTTCCTCTTCCCCGATTCCCCAACACTGTTCCCCTCCCCCAATTCCCCTATAAAAACCTTAAAAAAAAAAATCTTGTGAGATCGGTTGTATTCTTTTCGTTTTGTAGAAGCAGAGGCTAAAGAGAATAAATTCAGCGTAAGGGATATGAGAAAAGCTCCAAAAAGTGGTAAGAGATCAAACTAGGCACATAAGTGGTCGTGTGTTTCTTCCCTGCTCCTTTAATATCTGTTGTGTGCCCGGCCCTATATGTGACTCCTGACTTGGAGGAGCTAGATTAAAGAAGCCAGAGTATCTGTGTAGGTCAGTGATACATACATATATATAAATTTTTTTTTTTAAAGATTTTATTGGGGAATCGGGGAAGGGGAACACAAGTTGCTGTCCTTTTGTTCTTCAGTCTAGTTGTGGAGGACGTCGCTTACGTTGCTTCACTGGCCCATGTTGGTATTATCATTGCACTCTTCCCCGGCTGAGGCAGTCGCTCGCTGGCCATTGGAAAGTTCACGCCCGCTGCCGGGCAGCCCCACTGCAGCCTACGCCGTCGCCGGCAACTCATGGCAGCCCAGCTCCAGGTCGAGCTATTGTTCACCATCTTAGCTGTAGATGTTTCACTGGCCCTGATGTGAAATCCGAACCAGGGCCCTGCTGCTCAGAGCTGGCATCCCAAGCCAACTCCTAACCAACGTGCCACTGGGCCGCCCCAGTCAGTGATTTTTGAATGAAGTAAAATTGTTTGTTTGGGATTGAATATAAAACCGCATACTCTGGTGAGGAAGGGCTTCATTTATAATAGTAGTTGGCTTTCAAAATGAACTTTAAAGAAAGAAAGGAGTAAAGATTTAGTAGATCAGAGTTGATTTGGGGCACTAAATAAAAGATAGCATTGTTTAGTATTGATATCTGGAAATGAGTTATAGGGGTTAGATAAAGTTCAAATTCCTTGGGGTAGTTGTCAAGTCCCCTTCTTCCTAAACTTAGTCCTTACCCACCTCTGCCTCTTGGTATCTATCTGCACTTGGACAAGTACGTGCCCTCCACTGCAGGAGATGTAATACTTGTCCATTCCTTTTTCTCAGGACTTTGCTTATTCAAAGGTTCTCTTAAATGCCTCCACTTTTCGAGGTTTTTGGCTTATCTCAGCCCTCAGTAATCCTGAACTCAGGTAGTATTTGCCTTTACCAACCACTCTTTGCATTTAGCATAAGCTACATAATACAGCATTAGCTTTTTATTTATTAACAACTGACCTAAGCAATTTGGTTATAAGTAGCTAGGCTTAGTTGTTTACCCACAAGTTTGCTAACAGATTTTAATGAAATCAGTGTTAGATTAAATCCTAACAAAGTACAGACTTTAAATATTTATGAGTAAGCTAGTGCAAAACAGTTCATACAACCTTTGTAGGTATGATACAGTGCCAGCTCTCTGTCCTTTTAGGAACACTAACAGTACTCTGATGAAAGATTCATTTGAGGCAGAATTCAGCAATATTCTAGAGCAGCGGTTCTCAACCTGTGGGTCGCGACCCCTTTGGTGGTCGAACGACCCTTTCACAGGGGTCGCCTAAGACCATCGGAAAACAAAAAGATATTTACATTACGATTCATAACAGTAGCAAAATTACAGTTATAGAGTAGCAACAAAAATAATTTGATGGTTGAGGGTCACCACAACATGAGGAACTTTATTAAGGGGTCGCGGCATTAGGAAGGTTGAGAACCGCTGTTCTAGAGGTAGAGTTTTGTTAGCACTGTAGTTGGCAACAACTAAACAGAATCCTCTGACTCAGTGGACACAGGGCCATTTAAGGATCAAGCCATGAGTGTCATTCCTGGGGGTGTGGGCAATAGATTTTGCTAGATTCTTATACCTTGTTCATGCAAGGAAGAGGGGTGAATCTAACAAATTTTCGCTAATCCACATTTCTTACACTACTGATTTCACCAGTGAGAGAGAGTGTATTTTCAGAAGCAGACCACTAATTTCATTATTAGCAAAATGTCTGGCGTTGATCAGAGATAAAAGATAGTTGAAGCACTTGACAGAGAGGAGAGATGATGCTACATTGCTGGCTTTGAAGATGGAAGAAGGGACCATGGGCCAAAGATATTCAGATGGCCCTTCACATCTAGAAAAGGCAAGGAAACGTTCTCCTTTAGGGCCTCCAGGAGGAATGCCAGCCTGTCCCCACCTTAATTTTAGCCTAGTAAAATGCAGACTTGTGACCTTCAGAACTGTAAGATGATCTGTATTGTTTTAAGCCACCAAGTTTGTGGTAATTTGTTACAGCTGCGTAGGAAACTACTACACTTACAGTTTAAAGAGAGATGGGAAGAGATTTCCCCAAACACCCATGCTTTTGGAGATCTCGATTTAAATTCCAGAGGAAATAATTGACTTTTTCTTAGGTAGATCTCTACTTTTATTGATTGATTGATTGATTTACACACACACACACACACACACACACACACACACACACACCCCTCTTCTTCCTCTCCCCACTGCTGAGCTGTTGTTCTCAGTCTAGTTGTGGAGGACGCTACTCGTTGGCCCATGTTGATGTTATGATCATTATGCTCTACCCGGCTGAGGCACAGTAGCTCACGGCAGCTCATGGCAGCCCACGCTGGCCGCCGGCTACTCGGCAGCCCTGTTGTTCAGAGCTCGTGCTTTTACCAACTGAGCTATCCAGCTGCCCCTGTAGGTCTCTACTCTTAATTCAAGGAGTGTTCCTAGTGAAGTGGCCCAGTTAAATTGTCTTGGGCTCGGGGCATGCATGGCCGCTCAGTACATTAAGAGGTAAAGGGTTCATGAAGTGTCAGTTTTACTTAGATTTTTTGGAGGAAAATCACTTCTATATTTAAATGCACATGGATGTATTAGAGAAAATAATGTATTTCTTAGAAATTTCAAAAATAAGCCATGAAAATTGACTTATGGTAGAGATCATTTGGGAAATAGGGTTCCCAAAACGGGTTAAGGAACAGGATTCATGTGTTCCTTACTTAAGTGAAAAATTATAAGCACAAAATACATTAGTTATCTATGACTGTGTAACAGATTACCTCAGAACTGAGTTGTTAAAGCAGAAAACATGTATTTTCTTACAGTTTCTGCAGGACAGGAATCTGGGTGCCTCTGGTTCAAGGTCTCTCATATGCTGTGATCAAGTGATCAAGATGTTGGCTAGGGCTGTGTTCTAGTTGACAGCTTGCCTTGGGGGAGCATCTGCTTGGAACTCAGTCCCTTGTGAGCTTTTGGGTTGAGGGTCTTGCTGGCAGTGGGCTGGAGACCCCCTCGATTCTTTGCTACTTGGCCCTCTCTCCTCTCACAACGTGATGAGAGAAAGCGAGCCATCCCTGAGCCCAAGACAGAAGTTACTTTTTTCTGTAATCTAATCTCAAGTGACATTCCATCACTGTGCCATATTCAGTTAGTTAGAAGCAGTTACTAACTCCAACGCACACTCATGGCAATGAGATTAACCAGTGGCTTACAATGAATGATCTCTGTCAGGGATCATTGCAAGCCATTGATTTTGTCTCTCCCACCACTATTTATGTAACTTTGATGCCTGATTTCTGAAATTATTTTCTTTTCTGAATTTAATATAAAATTAGCAAAGTTGTTAGAATTAAATGAGATCATAGATACATATAAAAAATGCTTGGCATATAGTAGATTCTCAAAAGATACCTATTTTGAAAAAATATAAATCAAGTGGCCATTGTACCCACATCTGATTTTTTGTTAGATACTTGATTTTTCAGGGTCCTAAATTTTGACATCCTGAGAATCCATCTTAGTATCTGACTTGTGAGAATTCTGATAGAATCTGACTGTAAGAATTTTGAAAATACAAATATTCTTAAATAATTTATTTTTTGTTCAAATGGTTGGCATGGAGGGGCTGGCCGAGTGGCTCAGTTGGTTAAGAGTGCAGGCTCAGTTAATTAAGAGTGCAAGCTCTGAGCAACTGGATCGCAGGTTCGATTCCCACGTGGGCCAGTGAGCTGCGCCCTGGCTGAGCTGCTACTGAGCTGGCAACAGGTGGCAGGATGGCTCAGCTGGTGAGAGCTAACAACAAAGTTTCTGGTTCGGCTGCTGCATGGGATGGTGGTCTACACCCACCCGCAACTAAGATTGAACACGGCACCTTGAGCTGAGCTGCCCTGAGCTGCTGATGGGCTGCTGGATGGCTACTGGACTTGGAGCTGAGGTAGCTGCGCCCTCCACAACTAAGATTGAAGGACAACTTGGCTGTTTCCCTTCCCCAATTCCCCAACATTGTTCCCCTGCCCCAATTCCCCAATAAAATCTTTAAAAAAATGGTGTGCATGGAATCACAGATATCCAGATTGATATAGGTATATTTTAAAATATAAGTCCCCAAAATAAAGCTTCATAGTTTGAGATAATATAGGGAATTTTAAAAAGATGCATGAGCAGTCTGCTGTGTCTGGGGGAAAAAAGTCTCTCCAAACTATTGTAAAATGATTTGCTGTAATTAAGATGTTCTTCATAAAGGGATTAGTGATGTTTAATATTGACTTGGTTTACCATTATGTCAATTGATTTACTGCCGCCCCCACTTTTTTATTTGGGAGAGGGTAAAACATTTCTTGGATACAAAAGCCACTGTACTCTTACATGATATTATTAACATCTGAAAAATTGCCTGCTAATAAAGTAATAGAACAAAAAAACATGAAATTAGGGTAACTACCAGCGGTGGTATCAGTGTTCTGATGCTGCTAAATATAATTAGGTATCATACGGTTGATTAGGATCGAAATCTTTTTAGATGATTGAGCTTTGGAATGCTAAAATTCTGGCATTTTTATATTCTAGGTTAGCTGTATAAGCAAATATAATGCCAAATATGTTAGATGGATATATTTTGAAAAAATTATGGCTGCTTAAAAGGGAAATCCAACACCAGTTTAAATGTTTAAATGTCATACCAGACAAACAACTCAAAGCATTTACTTTCATTTGGTTTGAAGTAATTTGAACTATAACTCTATAAGTGGAAATGCATATTAAAATTTTTTTTTTTAATTTTGAGATATGTGATTTATTTTTTATTATAAAATATGTACAATCTTATTACAAACTGAGGAAAAGAGAGATGCTATGTTGATCATATGAGTTGAAATCCTTTTATTATTTTTACTAGGAAGTATGTGTTCTTGAATCATCCCAAAATAATACTCTTTTACTTTCAATTCCTTCTACCACCGTCCACTTCCCTACCCCTCTCAAAATTATAGAATCATATCCATCCAGTTGCCTAATGGTTGAGGGAGAGGAGAGAAAACAAAAAAATACTATTGTTACTATAGGATTAGAATCATTCTCTTACTGTGTTTTCCCTCTTCTCAGCACACCCCCAGTCTCTTTCATGAGTCATTACTTAGGGGAATTCTCTGACACTCTGAACGCTTAATAATCTTGAAGAAATTTAAGATGGTCATATTGGGAGAACAAAGTTTGACTGCCATTTACCTATTCTGCAAGTGTGTTCTTTATTTAGTGTTTAGTAATTTTATTTAGTAATTTAATCTCTTAAAAATTAAAATTTGATTTTATAAATGTGGAGGATCACAGGTGGTTTCATTACCTTAAGCCTCAAGCCATTTCTGACTCCTACTTGTGGGTTTTATGTTTGTACTTCATGGAAATGAGTTTATCAAAGCTGTTTTGGGTTAAATACAGTTTCCCCCCAGAAACTGTATTGCTTAGACTTACTTGCCTTTTAGGTTACCTGCTGCAGTAAATTTAGGCATATTTAGATATCAAATACACATTTACTAAAGTTAAAACATGGATAATAGTTTACATAATTTTGGAATTGGTTGAAAGAATGTTTTTAAAAGTTGCAATATAAATAACTGCTTTAAAAAGCTTTCAATACTGGTTATAAGCGTATAGATTTAAGTGTGAAATAATATTTGAAATCTGAATGCTTTTAAGGTTCAGCTCCTCTGCTATTCTGTTTGCAATATGCTTACAGGTATGTACCAGAAATTCATTTAATAAGCTTTCCTGTGTGGCTTATTTATAATGGCTATAGATTTTATAAATGGCACTTTATGATTTCTTTTATTAACAGAATTCTGCTTGGTCGGAGTCGTGATGGCATTGTGTTCAGCACTGATGACTATTTTCACCATCAAGATGGGTACAGGTATAATGTTAATCAACTTGGCGATGCCCATGACTGGAACCAGAACAGAGGTTTGTTTTGGGCCAAGTCTCCTGGGATAGAATATTTGACTAAGAGCCAGGGGACTTCGGTTATTTTTTTTTTATTATTATTATTATTTTTTTCATTTTCTTATTATTTTTTTAAATTAGTTTCAGGTGTACAACATAGTGCAATAGTTACACTTTTTACCCCTCAAAGTGACAACCCCCTTCCCCAATCTGCCGCCCCACTCCCCCCCCCAATAAGGACTTCGTTATTATTCTCCGCTTGACTTTTACCAGTTGAATGACTGACAAGCCATTTAAACAGCTTGGAGACTCAGTTTTTCCATCTGTTAGAAGCGATGATAATTCTACTTGTCCTACTTGATGTGAAAATTAGAGTATTTAGATAGAATATTTTATAAACTGTAAATAGTGTACCAATATAAGCTGGTAAAATAGAGGTGTGGGCTATTTTGGTAGGCTTTATTTTATATCTTTTGAATAAATTTAGAGAACTCTGATACTATAGTTCTGTATTCCCAAAAGTTACTTCCCTAAGAGTAATGCTAATGTTTTTAAGGCTAATATAATGCATATGAATATTAAATTTTCCTCATTGATATTAATCTGAAAAATATGTAATACAGTTTTTATTGGCACGTGAGTCAATTGCTTTTCACTTTGGAATAGTGGTTCTTAACCTTAGCTGCACATTTGAATCACTTAGGGACCTTTTAAAAAAAATTGAGCCCCAGATATTCTGGTTTAGTTGGTCTGGAGTAGATCTAAGCCTTGATATTTTTTTGGAAATTACCCAGATCTTCTAATGTTGCAGTCAAATTGAAAACTTGATCTAGAACTATGTTAGTAAATGCATATAGTATAAGTTAATTTCTCTTTTTATAGATGAAGGATGCATTGATGATTAAATAAATTGATTTTATTATGAAAAATTTTAAACCAAGAGTAGAGAGATTATAATAAACCGCATACTGCCATCATTCCATTATTATCAGTTATCAAGATTTTGCCTTATCGGCTTTATCCTTTTTTCACTCCTCCCTCTTTCTTAATTTGCTGAAATATTTTAAAGCAAATTCTAGATATACTTTATGCATTTCAAATTAACCTTCTTCTTAAATCTTAACGGCAATGCCATCATCATACCTAAGAAAAAAAAAACCCAATTCCTTGACATCATGTAATACCCAGTCTGTAATCCAGTTACCCCTATTGTCTTGTAACTATTTCTTTACAGTCGTATTGTTTAAATCAGCATCCAAACAAGGTCCTTACAGTACATTTGGTTTTACATTTCTTTTAATTATGTTAACCTATAGCAATTTCCCCTCTTCTCACACTCATACCAAGTTCATTAATTTGTTGCAGAAACTTGCTTGTTTGTCTTATAGAATATCTTATACCCTTAATTGTCTATTTGCTTTCTTGTGGTAACCATTTAACTTGTTCCTCTTTCTTGTGTATTGCCCTAAATGGAAGTTAGCTGTAGGCTGGAGGATTTATTAAGCTAACTTTTTTTTTTGGTAAGCAAAAGTCTTTGTCCCATTTTTTTTGTGATGCTAGATTGATCAGTAGCTTCTAAGAGACAGCCTGCTTGCTCCCTCCATTATCAAGTTCCCTATGAACCTTATGTCTAATGGTTTTATCCAAAAATGAATTGTTTGCTGAATCAGTTATTTCATTAAGGGTTGCAAAATGGTGATTTTTCTGGGTCTGTTGTTCCTTCTGTGTTTACTAGCTAGAATTCTTTCGTAATGAGAACTTCCTCTCAACTAGTGTCACCCTAAAGTACAGTATGCTCAGGAAAAACTGGATAAATGCTTTTCTTTTTTATTGTCAATTTTCAGAATAAGGAATTTGTGAGCATATTTTTGAGTAAAAAGTTACTCTCTGTTATAGTTCATGGTTTCACAGGAAATTTTAAATGTTAAATAGGTTTGATTACAAGACTGTTTCCTAGCATTGGTTCAATGACATTCTAGGATTTCTCCAAATATGTTAGAGTGGCATAAAAATCTCCAAAACTCAAAAAAATAGTAGTTCTTTTTTATTTTTTTTTAAGTGCCACAGAACATTATTGCCCAAATAAATAATGATGGTATTGCAATTCCAAAAATGTTTGGTGTTATCAGCCTAAAGTTAAGGGAATAGGAGTAGGGAATAAGTGGATGACTAAAGGCGTGGGTAGAGCCAGTGTACCTTTTTTGGGCTGGGGAGCTTTTTTGTGGGGGGCATTTTTTCTCTTTGTAGAACTAGTATAGAACATTTCATTGAAAGGTTCATGCTTGTGAATTATACTGCTTAACAGAATAATGATGTCTAATATCTGGTTGTATTAGTTTAACAAATACGTGCTTTTATAGGGTAATTTCTACCTTTTTCAAGGTAATATAACTAGCAGTCATTAGACATTTTGAAAATTATAAGCATGACATATAAGACAGAATTTCTCAACAAATATTTATTGTATACTTTTAAATGCTAGGCACCATTCTGGGAATGTCTGCCTGCCTCATTAGAAAACTAAATTAATCTTAAGACTGCTTTTCTTGTAAATTGAAAACATCTCTAAGGTGTTATTATTCTCTTAGAGTATGGTGGTTAATTTGTTTAAGAAAATGACACTCACTTGGGTATTCAAACATTGCTCTATTTTCCTGGAGTACAGTGGAATATAGTATTGGATGATGATGATTCATGGAAAAAGAGGATAGTCTCCCTGTTATTTGGTTAATAAACTCTTCTTGTAGAACATAACTACTGGCGGTATAAGCCTAACTGTCTGATGTTAGGAGAGTTACTTTAAGAAGCTTTGGATTTTTTTTTTCAGTTTCAGATGTACAAAACAATGTAATAGTTATACATTTCACCCCTCACAAAGTGATAATCCCCTAAAAAGAAGTGTTTTTTTTAATGAAAGTTTTGATCATTGTTTATCATTGAGGATGGAGCAGTGAGAGGTGATAGCATCTTGGTATCCTGTTTATGACCCAAATTCTAAATTTCTTTTGGTATTTAGAGACATCTTCTCCCAAACATGTATTCTACTTGGCCGGCCCTTGCCTCAGCCTTTTAAATTTTGTTATGGATTCTTAATTATGTTTCTTGTCTGTTGTTTAACCTAAGTCTTTTTTAGTTCAAAAGCATTGTTTGTAATTGTAAAACATTGGAAAATACAGATAAGCATAAAATGCAGATATTCCCACCCATTACAGATGAACACTTTTGATTTCTTAGTAGCTCTTCTTTTTTTGTTGTAATTAAATTTATTGGGGTGACAGTGGTTAGTAAAATTACATAGGTTTCAAGTGTACAATTCTATAATACATCACCTGTATATCACATTGTGTGCTCACCACCCAGAGTCAGTTCTCCTTCCATCACCATATATTTGACTCCCTTCTCAGATCTTTATATTTTGACCAAAATAAAATGATACTTATACATGTTGTCTTGCTGCTTGCCATTTTCAGTTAACAAGTCTCCTTTTTTTTTTTTTTTTTTTTTAAAGATTTTATTGGGGAATTGGGGGAGGGAACAGCGTTGGGGAATCGGGGAAGAGGAACAGACAAGTTACTATCCTTTGGTTCTTCAGTCTAGTTGTGGAGGATGTTGCTTTACTGGCCCATGTTGGTATTGTGATCATTGTGCTCTTTCCGGGTGAGGCAGATTGGTCACTGGCCCTTGGACAACCGCTCACGGAGGCTGCCGGCCACTCACGCTGACTGCCGGCCACTCACAGTAGCTTACGTCAGTCCACTGCAGTCCCACTGCAGCCTATGCCGTCGCCGGTGACTCACAGCAGCCTAGCTCCAGGTCGAGCTGTTGTTCACCATCTTAGCTGTAAAGGGCAGTGTCACTGGCCCATGTGGGATCTGAACCGGCGGCCCTGCTGCTCAGAGCTCGCGCTCCCAAGCGAACTCTTAACCAACGAGCCACTCGGCCAGCCCACGAGTCTCCATCTTTCCATGTCAATAAATGTTCACATCTTTTCATACTCAGACCATATTCAAATGTAACTTGTTCCTGTATTTCCTGTAAATGAAAGTTAGCTCTAGACCAAAGGTCGGCAAACTTTTGAGAGGGAAGAGCTGCCAGGGGTTGGCAAACTGCGGCTCGCGAGCCACATGCGGCTCTTTGGGTACGTACATGTGGCTCTGAAGTAAAATTGAAAATGAAAATAAAATTATCATAGTTTCAATTATAATATTACTTTAAATTTTCCTTATTTGTAAAAATATATTTATGGCTCTCAAATAATATGTAAATTGTTGTGAGAGACAGGATACTCTTCCAGGGGTTGGCAAACTTTTGAGACAGTACGTACCCAAAGAGCCACATGTGGCTCGTGAGCTGCAGTTTGCCAACCCCTGTTCTAGACTAAAAGCTGTACTAACTGTAAGTTCAACAAAATGTTTTCCCCCAAATGTTCTTTACAGTTAGTTTGTCAAAACCAGCATCTAGTCTGGAGAATACACACTACATGTGGTTATGTCTCCTAACTCCCTATTAGTCTAGTGGAGTCTTTTTTCTGTGGCACTGACTCAAGGGTTTGCACAGTTTTGGTTCTAAGTACAAAGATGTAGTAAGTTTATTACTAATTAATATTTAAATTTTATTTGTGTATTTTAACCTAATAGTTCTGTGGTGGTTTTGTTTTTTCAAATTTCAGCAAAACAAGCTATCAATCAGGGGAGATCTCCAGTTATAATAGACAACACTAATACACAAGCTTGGGAAATGAAACCATATGTGGAAATGGTAAATATGAGATATGAAAGAGTTTTTATGTTGTATTCTTGTCGATTTTTTTTATATTCTGGAATTTTGGTTACCTTGATCTTTATTATTAAAACATTTGCCCTTGTTTTCTAAAGAGTGGGTTGGTTTGCCAAGTTTTAAAAAATTGGGGATGGTTCATATTAAGGAATATGGTCATCTTATTAGTTTTGCCTGGACTTGAGGAGTAATTGAAATTTGTCTAGTTAAGTGGTCTTAAAATTTTTATAAACCATATTATTTTAAAAGTAAAATTTTTCTTGGCTGAGCAAATTTAGAAGTAGTTAAATGAAATAAATGTCTGTTTGCCTTCTTTTTTACTTTAAAAAGTATTTTCTGGGTTTTTGTTTTTTTCCTTTCCTTTGTATAGGCTATAGGAAAAGGATACAGAGTAGAGTTTCATGAACCTGAAACTTGGTGGAAATTTGATCCTGAAGAATTAGAAAAGTAAGGCACTCAAATTTATTTTGAATCCCTACCTTTTTTTCTTTCTCTTTTACACAGTCAGTGTCTTTGCCAGCTTTGTCTGTCATATCTTTGCTACTTGTGATAGGGACTATGACTTCTTACTTTCTGGTAAAGGAATATTGACTTTAATTCATTGTTTTTGAGGTGTGCCTTGCCTTGTTAAATTTTATTAAATTTTTCTTGTTAATAGTACGTGAATTTCTACATTGTTTCACAATATACTGAATGCTAGTGGAGATCCAAAAAGCTTTGAGAGAAGAATTAGAACTTTTCCCTCTGAGTTTTAGCTAGGCCGCTTCTCTTTCTGCATTGTCCTTCCAACTTCATCTCCTTCCCATGTTAGGACCCATCACCTTTTTACCTGGTGCTTTTCATCTTGCTCCCGCTTTTCCATCTTTACTACTAGAGCTCCATAATCTCATAACCAAGATGCTTGGAATCAGTGTGTTTTGGAATTCAGATTTGTTTTTTCGGTGTTAGAAAGGTAATATAGAGCGTATAGCCAATCATAACACCCCTGGCAGAGTTTGGGCAGCATGTTATAATCAAACATCGTAATATTTCTGCAGTAAATTATGACTACTAAGTAGTCTAAGTAGATAGGGAAGACTCTATATAATGTGTTACCAGTTCTGAGTAGATTGTGCTGCCAGATGGGCACAGGTCTGGTTAGATTTTGGTGCCATTTGAGTCAACAAAAAACTGAGTTTTCAGAGCATTTTAGGTTTTAAAATTTGTGGTGAGGGATTGTGGACTTGTATTGCTTTCAACCTGCTTTCTTCCCTTTGTGTTTATTTTTACCTTTATCCCTTTCCTCTGACAGCACTGGTTTTCCTGACTATGATTCTTTTTTTTTTTAAAGATTTTATTGGGGAATTGGGGGAGGGAACAGCATTGGGGAATCGGGGAAGGGGAACAGACAAGTTGCTGTCCTTTTGTTCTTCAGTCTAGTTGTGGAGGACGTTGCTTCACTGGCCCAAGTTGGCACCATCATTGCGCTCTTCCCAGGCAAGGCAGATCAGTCGCCGGCTTCTGGATGGCCGCTCACTGCGGCTGCTGGCCGCTCACGCTGGCTGCTGGCTACACACGGTAACCCATGGCAACCCACTGCCACAGGGGCTGCAGCCTACGCCGTGGCTGGCGACTCAACGGCAGTCCAGCTCCAGGTTGAGCTGTTGTTCAGCATCTTAGCTGTAGAGGGCAGTGTCACTGGCCCTCATATGTGGGATCCGAACCGGGGCCCTCTGCCGTCCCAAGCCAGCTCTTAACCACCGCGCCACTTGGCCGGCCCTGACTATGACTCTTTTTTTCCCTTCATTTTCACCCCCCACTTTTGATAACAACTTTGAGATATAATTTACATTCTTAACAATTTACCCATTAAAAATACACAGTTCAGTGGTTTTCAGTATATTCACAGGGTTGTGCAATCATCACCTCCCTTTTTTTAAAAACTCTTCTTTTTTTTCCCTCCCACCTCAGTTTGTCCTCTTCCAGCTTAAAGCTATTATTCTGTATGGTGTCCAGCTAATAATTCTTTCCCCTTTGTGTGTCATTCCTTTAGTTATCTAACTTTCTCTTCCTGATTTGCATGCCATGTGTTCAGATATAAAGATAGAAACTGGTAAATTTACTAATATCTGGTATTGTTTGTCTGATTCTGTGTGTATTGCACCTCAGGTGGAAAGATGGAAGTTTAAAAATTAAAGATATTTGGGTTATGCTGAACAAATGAATTGATGAAATTGTTGTACAGTTAGGCTTTATTTACTTTTGAGGGACTGTGAAATTTACTTTAATTCTTAATATAAATTGACTTTACAAAATAACGTCAGTTTAACTGATGTCTTAGCATAGTTTGATTTTTTTTGTAAAGAATTGCTTGAGTCATCAAATTTGATAACTTTTGGATTTAGGCATATCTTGCCAATTGTCAACTTGAGATTTCCTTTTTTTTGGTCTTTTGTCTTCTCTCTTGCTTTTTCTTCTCATCTTGAACACAAACATCAATAGTTTTGAAAAATAAGCATTTTTTTGTGTCCTTTTTCTGGGCAAAATGAATTAACGTTAGTAAATCTAAAACCATAACACTAAATGTAAAATATGTTCCTGTGTGTTTTGCCATGTCCAAGTCAAAGTACAGAAAACTACAAGAGTCAAATAAATTGTAAAAAGTTGTTTGAGGGTCAAAAATAATTTTTAAACCACTTTTTGTAGTCATACTTCAACTCACAGAAAAGTACATAAAATGTAGACATACAGCTTAACAAATTGCTTATAAGGCAAATATTCATTTAGCCATTCCCCAGGACATGAAAGCATTGTCATCACCTCAGAAGTATTTCAAATTCCTTTTCCCAGTAACAATTCCTTGGTAATTACTTCCTTGCTTTTCTTTAAAGCACCTTTATTTTTTTCTAAACCATCTTTTGCCTTAACACCATAGTTTAATATTTTTTTTCCAAACTTTATATATATAGAGTTATGTAGTATGTATTTTTTATGTCCACTTTCTTTCACTTAACATTATGTTTTTGAGATATGTCCAGATTGTTGTATCTCAAATAATCATTTTGTATTGATAATAGGTATTTAAAATGCAATAGGAAGTATCCTAAAATCACTTTTAAAAAGCGATAAATATTTGATAACTGATTTTTGAAGTCTTACAAGTCCACTCAATTCTTCTGTAATTCTCAAAACGGTGTCTCATAATCTTTAATTTTGTTTTTTTAAAAATAGGGGAGATTAACTTGGTGGTTCAGTGAATCAGTAGTTAGTCTGTGTGATGAAGCTATAATCAGTTAACATTTTGCTCTGATTTGTGGTATCTTGACACCTTTTTAAAATGTTGTTTAAAACTTTGAGAAAGCCAGTATACTTTTTTTTTTTGGTGTTAAATGTTGATAAATGAGATGTATCTCCTAGTATTTATTAGCAAAATATAATTTAGAATCTATACTCGATTACTCTAGAACAGCGGTTCTCAACCTGTGGGTCGCAACCTCTTTGGTGGTCGAACGACCCTTTCACAGGGGTTGCCTAAGACCATCGGAAAACAAAAAGATATTCACATTACGATTCATAACGGTAGCAAAATTACAGTTATAGAGTAGCAACGAAAATATTTTATGGTTGGGGGTCACCACAACATGAACTGTATTAAGGGATCGCGGCATTAGGAAGGTTGAGAACTGCTGCTCAAGAACAACTTAATCTCTAAGCTTATACATTTTTAAAAAAGAATTAAAATCCCTTTCTTTTTTATTAGGAGGAATAAACACGGTGTGTCTCGAAAGAAGATTGCTCAGATGTTGGATCGTTATGAATATCAAATGTCCATCTCTATTGTAATGAATTCAGTGGAACCTGCTCACAAAAGCACACAAAGACCCCCCCCTTTAGAGGAGAAACAGAGGTGGGGAGGCCCTCTAGGTTCATGTAATCGCGTCTATGTCACATATAACCATTAGGCCGGCTATTTTCAGCTAACACATTTTTTTGTTTGCCCTTGAAAAAACTTAGTGAGCCTTTCTTGAAGTTTAAATAGTTTCAAATTAAAAAAAAAGGACTACATTGCCTCACAGATGATGTTCACAGCAAGTCGTTTAAATTCTAAAGTATAAATAAAAATTATATAAAACTGTATTTTAAATGTTTTTATAATCTTTTGTTGTAATACCTTCAGTTATTATGAAGACACCTGAGTGGGTAAGAAGTAGAATGTTTTTCTACAATTTTAAACAAAATTATTTATTTTGTAGATGATGTTGAACAGTTTTATAGTTCATACCTAAATCTAACTTTTCATAAAACTTTGGTATTTTTCCCTAAGTACCTTAAACATACAAGAAATACAATACTAACTTGTTATATACACCATAGTTGATTCCCTGTTTATTATATAGGTAAAATGATGTTTCTGCAAATTCATCTGTGTAACAAACTATTTCTAAGCTATAAATAGAATATCAGTTTAAATTCTCTCTCAAATGTCATATAGTAGTTGCATCAGTCACCTGGGAAGTTTTCTCCATAATTACATGTTCATAAAACAAGATATACATACTCATCACCGTTCTCAAGCCACCCTCTTCTTCCCCACACCCTCCAGTTCTGGGATGGATACATAGGGAAATCACTCTATAGTTAGGAAATCTCCTGCTGTTCTGATGCGTATCACTCTTCTCTATTTAGCACCGCATGATTTTAACATAAAAATCTATCGGACAGCTCCTTAGCTGTAATTATGACAAGGTTTGTCTTGTAGAATGTTTTATTTCTTCTGGAGGGCCAACCGTTATCTCACTGGATAGTTTTCTTGTTAGATTGTGTTCCTTCACTTAAAATTTAAAAACCGAGAGGAATTCATTTCAGAGATATGGTAATTCTTCCTAATCTTTGCTTTGATTTACTCTTTTTTAGGGAAAAAAAACCCACCAGCTAATTACATGCTATTTTAAAAAAATAATCATCATGACCTTTCATATATTTTACATAACATTTCATGGCCTTTCAACTTTCTCCTAAACCAGCCCATCTTGAATCCCATGATCTTTCTTTATATTGTTGTTTTAAAACCTTTTACTGTTTTTTTTCCATTTTACTTTAATGTTCTCCCACATCCTTATATTACTTTTTAAGTAATATTAAGTTGCAAGGCTCAAAACTAAACACAGTGCTGTCAACAAGGTCTTTATTACATTGTCTTTAGTGAGATAAGAATACTATTCCCATTTATTTGTACTATTCAATTCTGTTTACACTTAAATGCATATTACCTTGCTATACCTTGTTTAACACATGTATGTATGCATTTGTTCATCTTAAATTATGTAGTAGGAATATGCTAACTCATGTTTTGTGTATAAATGTATATAGATATTTATACATACACACATTTCCTTCATATTTTCATGTATTCTTTTGTTTCAGAGTAGTACTTTTTGGTTATTTGGACTTGTATATCCCAGTATTTTATTACATAAATTAGCACATTTTGAAAATCGTCCAGAAGGATTTCACTTGGGGACAGCTGAAACTTAGATATATATTGTGTGTCCTTTGCCCTCTGTCTTTATATATAACTTTGTTTAGGAGTAATAGTACTATATATTTATAGTTTTTGAATAATAGACTCTTAATTAGCCAAATTTATGTTAAAGAAGTAGAGAATTACCTTGGGGAGATACAAATTAGGAGAAAACATGTTCACATTAGATAATAAGTCTAAAATAAATTTCCAGATTTTTAGTACAGATGCAGCTTCATCTCCTAGTACTTCTAAGTACTAAATAATAATGATTCAAAGATCATTAATCAGTTACTGATTTATTTTTAATTATAAATGCTTTTTGAGACAAGGAAATTCACATTCTGAAAGACTTTCCATTTTTTTTTAAGACAAAGTTAAATTAATGGTTCTCCCAAGAATTCTGGCTAATTTTGCTTTTATTTTTGAACAATAACAGAATGGAGGAATGAATATGCAATAAAAGATACCTGAATCATTAGTGTAAGTCATTGCTTGATGTTAAAAATTTATAAAATACGAAATTTGCCAAATAAAGATCTTTCATCAGAATTTTTTCTACTAGCCAGATATACATATGTATATTTTTTATTCAGATATATTCTTAATCGATTAACCTCAGCTGCTACCTCCCATTCTGAGTTGATCTCCCTCACAAAGAATAAACTGGGCATTAGTCACCATATTTAAGGTGAAATACATTTTAGTTATACACAATACAACTTCTAGTAAGATTAAGTTGTTTTTTCATATGCCTGGTGTAAAAATCACTTTTCCTTTTTGATAATCAAATTTATAATTTTCTTCATGTCATAATCCTGTTAGTAAAAATACTTGTGTTGTAATTAAGTTGAACTTTTGGTATTGCTTTTTAAATAGATCATCTTTATTTTCAGCACTCACCGTTCTAAAAGAAAATGTTTTTTAATGTTTTATGTCTTTTAAAATCAGATTGTTTTCAGAAGATTGGGTTGTATAAACTATTAATATATTGTTGGAGTGACCGGATGGTTTATAAGTATTGAAGTTTGCTCATCTCTTGCCTAATTAATATAGATATGGAATTTTCCAGTTTTATATAGAGAGTTTTTGAAGAGTTCATAATTTTAAAGGATATAAAATACTTTTGACTAAATTCGACTTTTTGTTATTGCAGAAATGTCTTATTTTTCATAGCCTGGTTTTCTAAGTATTTATAAAGAAAATTGGTAGTGGTCTCTTTCGAAAATGTTAAAGAAATGTGATGGTTTATGTATTAGTGCCTTGACCAGATAAGTTTGCTAGTCTTTATTGAAGTTTTATGTAGTATTTCAACATGGATTAAGTTTCCTTATGTGTGTTTTTGTTTTAACATCTGCAACCCATATAAATAGAGTAACACCTGTTAGTCTAGAATCATAACAAAATATTACTTAGTTTTTTTACAGTGATCATTTAGAGTAAATATTTGGAGGCAGCAGAAAGAGCAGATTGAGTTAGTGGTTTGTAGAGTTAAGTCTTAATGGGTTACAATTTGTAAATAAATATTCTTTCCATTAAAATTGTTAGCCTATGAATTGACTGGGAAAGGAGTGATTATATTAATTAATTAATGAGTATTTTTTACGTGATGGCTTTCTCTTTACCAATTAAATAAGATTTGCATACCAATTTTTATATTCTTCAAATTAAGGCACAATTAAAACAATTGGTCTCTGTATGTATACCACATTTTTGCTTTAAAAATATCCTTAGGGCCGGCCGAGTGGCGCGTTGGTTGAGAACTGGCTTGGGATGCCAGAGGGCCCCGGTTCGGATCCCATTTAAAAAGAAAAAAAAAAAAATTCTTGGGGATTGTAAGAAGTAGTATTAGATTTGTTGAAATAGATTCTGAAAGAGGAGTAATTAGTGATTGTCTGGTGTGTCTTTTTTATTCCCTTTTTTACGTTGCAAAGCAGCATTTAAATTAATTCAATTCAGTTCATTAAAATTGCCAAGTGTTTTAAGTATAAAAAAAATTTCACATTTGTGTTGTTTGTAAATTTTAATGCAAACCTTGAAAAGTTTATGATTTTTGCTGGTAAATTCATAGAACTTGTAATAGAATGGTTATAATTTACAGTCAGTATCTTTAGACTACAATGAATGGCATAGCTTTTTTAATAGAATATACATGTGTGTATGCTTAATGTTGAATATATTTCCTATGGAAGTTCATAATGTACTGTCACTGTCAAATTATGCACAGAAACAAGGGGAAAGGGTAGCATAAATAACTCTTTAGAAAGAGGTCCTCAAGAATAAATAGAGAGTTGGGCCGGCCAAGTGGCGCGTTGGTTGGGAGTTGGCTTGGGATGCCAGCTCTGAGCAGCAGGGCCCCGGTTCGGATCCCACATGAGGGCCATTGACGCTGCACCCTCTACAGCTAAGATGGTGAACAGCTGCTCAAACGAGCTGAGCTGCTGTGAGTCACCAGCGACGGTGTAGGTTGCAGTGTGGCTGGCTGGCAGCGGGCGTGCGCTTTCGTGAGCCACTGTGAGCAGCCATCCAATGACCAGTGAGTGACTGCCTCTCCCGGGAAGAGTGCAATGATAATACCAACATGGGCCAGTGAAGTGACGTCCTCCACAACTAGACTGAAGAACAAAAGGACAGCAACTTGTCTGTTCCCCTTCCCCAATTCCCCAACACTGTTCCCCTTCCACAATTCCCCAATAAAATCTTTAAAATTAAATAGTTATTCTTGAAGCTAAGGCTGTGTCTGTTGGAAAGTTTTGACTTTTTGGTACATTTAAAAGTCCATCTTAGGCATTTAGATTAGAAATCATCTCTTTTTTCCTTCTTACAGATTTTGTTTTCTGAATGAAAACCCTTTCAGACGATATAATTGCAATAATTACATGTTATAATACACTTCCCAGTACAGAATCCAGTAACTGCAATAAGCTGTCTTAAATTTAAATATGAATAATACAGATTATTTTATCTAGCATGGACACAGCCATAGTCTGACCCCTACTCTTAGAACTACACACAAGCATTATACCCACTTTGATAAATAACTGAAGATTTCGCCTAGGACTATTGTCCAGTTAATATTTCCATGTTTTTGTAATTGAACTTAGGTAAATTAATGGGAAGACTGAGAGCTTTTGAGATGAGCTGTTAGGCATTTGCTTCTCAACTTTATTAATAACTAAGGGGGAAAAGAATAATCTGTTCACTTATGGGTAAAATTGTGTTCAGTAGCGTCCATTCAAATATACTTTATTTGAATTTTTTTTCTTTTCAGTTTTAACTGTATTCTCAGGACTTATAAAATTAAAGTTTTATGCCTGGAGTTCATCTACAACTAGTAATTATAATCATACAACTTTGTTACTGTCTCTCCATTTGTAATTCTGAAC